ATTTTATTTTTTTAGATTTTATTTATTTATTTGACAGAGATAACAGCAAGAGAGGGAACACAAACAGGGGGAGTGGGAGAGGGAGAAGCAGGCTTCCCGTAGAGCAGGGAGCCCGATACAGGGCTCGATCCCAGGACCCTGGGATCATGACCTGAGCCGAAGGCAGATGCTTGATGACTGAGCCACCCAGGCGCCCCTGTATCTCAATTTTTAAAATTATTATCTAGGTGTCATGGTTTGGAAACAGTGAGAAATTAGACAACTTTCAGGCTCTAAGTGTAGGACTTAAGAAAATGAGCAGTCTCTCCTCAATATGACTATAAAAGAAGCAGACCCATGGATGGATAGATGGAGAGTTTCAAGCCATGTCAAGAAAGGAAGCTTTCTGATGCAGCCAAGGATGAAGGAGATGCAGTGGAAGAATTCTGGGAGTGTTAGTTGGAAAGCCAGGAGAAGAAGCATAAAACAGTAATGAAGAGGGGCGCCTGGCTGGCTCATCCCATAGAGCATGTGACTCTTGATCTCCAGGGTCATGAGTTCCCCAAGCTCAAGGTTGGGCATAGAGTTTACTTAAAACAACAACAACAACAAAGCAAACAAACAAAAAAACAGTAATGAAGATGAGACGTGGAAGGAGATGGCTGCAGAATACAGACCTTTCTTTGCACTCCATGAAGTTAAAAAAAATAACTCCAAACACTTTGAAAACAGAAAGCAATAAATATCAGAGGCAAATGGAAAGGGAATTTAATTTAGCGCAAGAAAGGGAATGAAACACAAGAGAGCTCATAGAAGCTTAGCTTTGTTGTCTTAAGAGACACAATAAAACACCAAGCAGCCCCTAACATGATACAGTTATGATTTCACACATTCATTAGCTAATAGTACACCCTATTTCCAAGCATGGTGCTTGGCACATAGGAAATGTGCAGTAAATGTTTTTAAAAATCTATTTCTTAACCTTTATCTCAGGAATATCTAGGGATGCCTGGGTGGCTCAGTCGGTTAAGCGTCTGCCTTCAGCTCAGGTCATGATCCTAGGGTCCTGGGATCCAGTCATGCATTGGGCTCCCTGCTTGGCGGAGAGCCTGCTTCTCCCTCTGCCACTACTCCCCACTGTGCTCTCTCTCTCAAATAAATAAATCTTTAAAAAAAACAAAACAAAATTTTTCTGTGAACAACTACGATCTCATACTCCCTGATTTTATAAATAGTAGTATTTTTACCATAAGTTTTTTGTTTTGTTTGTGTGTTTGTTTGTTTTTAGAAAATAAAGTATAGATCAGGGAAACAAATTCTAGTAGTCCAACCAGGGATAACACTGTTAAATACATATCTCACAAAACATGTATATAAACATAAACACATACCCATAAAATTACCTGAGTTATACCAATTTTGCTGGTTTTATTTTTTTTAAGATTTTATTTATTTGA